GCTCTGGCAGTACCTCTTCGATACGCAGCGGTGGTGCGTCTTCGCCTGCAGCATCGACGAGAAGGCGGCGGGCAAGCTGGGCATCGCGGCGAGCCGCCGCCCTGCGGCGCCTCCCGGCACGCAGGGAGCAGGATCGCGAGGAGAGGCGCGGGTCCTGCGGGAAGCGGGTCCCGAGGTGTGTCGCCCTGGTCCGGGGCTCGCGGGGCCTCCCACGGGCCCTGGGACTGCCAGGAAGCGCCTCGGGACGAAGATCTCGCTCTGGGGGAAGAGGCCCCGGGATGCGGGGGCCCTCTCCCCTCGGGACCTGCTGCCCGCATGCGGAGTGTAGGAGCAGGGAGCGGCGGCGGCACCCGCGGGGACCACCAGCGGGAGGAGCTGGGAGAGGGGTCTCCCCTGGTGGTCTGGCCCCCGCCTCTCGCTCGAGGCGTCGGCCCGTCCCCCGCTCGGAGAGGCATCGTGGGCCTCTCGCTGGTGCTGGTGGTGTGGCTTCGCCTGCCCCCCCCCCCCCCCCGGGGAGAGGTCCCTGGGGGGGAGAGGTGTCCTTGGGGGAACAAAAAGTGGCATAAACATAAAAGCTCGGAGGTCCGCGCGGATTTCTCGGATCGGCGCTGGGGCCCCCCGGCGGCGCCTCTGGCGCCGCCCTTGGCGCGCTCCGCGCGCCAGGGAGGGGGGTCCAGCGCAGGTCCGAGAAATCCGCGCGGAGTTCCGAGTTTTTCTGTTTATGTCATTCTTCATTCCCCTAGTCCTGAGGCTCTCTGCTGGTGTCGGGCTCCCTGCTGGTGTCGGGCTCCTGGCCCAGACATGCTCGCGTCGTGGCAGAGATGACGACGCAAGGTTTTTGGCCGCTTCCGGCCTGTGGGGTCCCTCACCAGGCCCCGGGTCCGCCAAAGAACGATTCGGGATAAGCCCTGGGGAAAAGATTTGGACTTTCGGTGACTCCGCAGTCTTAAGTCGGGCCTGCCCCTCTATAGGAGGAAACTTCAAAAATAATCAAAAAATAGTATGGGGACATTTTATTTGACTTGTTTTTGCTATGTTTGGTTAATGTTTTGAGTGTTTTCGCTTTTCGCTCAAAGTCCGCCTGTAGGAGGACATGCCCGACCGGACCGTAGTCAAAAACTCGATGGAGCTGATCCAGAGACAGCGGCTCGCAGCCCTCAGGGCCACGGGTTCCCCCGCCGCGAGAAAGTGGCTCTGGAGCAGTTTGCGTGGGCACGGTCCCCACTGCGCAGCCTTCAGGACCACGGGATGCCTCGCCGCGAGCCCCGTGCCTCTGGAGCAGCGAACGTGGGCACGGTGCATCTGCCCCCCTCCCCTCAGATCTGTCGTGACAGAAAACATGCAGCATCGCAAAGAATCACCACTGGAGCACCAGACCCCACCTTTCAGTGTGATGGTTCGAGCCGGATCGATCTGCGAGGGTCCCAGGGCCCAAACCTAAAACGCCAGTTTGTGAAGTTGCAGCGCCAGGATCTCAGGGTTGCGCCCAGCCCCCTGGCCTCCCTGTCGAGGAGGTGAGGCCAGCCTTTGGAATGGTCCGACTTCGTGGTCGGCACGGGGTCGGTCCGATGGAGCCACCCCAGACCCCCGACGCCATGATTCTTCTCATGACGTCGACCCCCAGGGGTCTCGACGGCCGTTTTCCAGGATTGCGTTTCCCATGAGTAAAAAATCATGGGAAACACGACGTGGCTCATTGAGTGCTGTTTTTTGAGGAAAATCGTGTTTCCCATAATTCGCAGGGCTTCCGTCTCGACCCAATGCCCCCGGACCGGCTCTTCCTCCCGAGTCGTTTTGGGGGACGGCCCCGCGGCCCGGCCAGGGTCTCCAGAGGTCGAGGATGCTGAACACACCCACCGCCATGACTTTGCGCACTACTCTCGGGTGCAACTCCTGGGAGGTCAGCTTCTGCTTGTGCTCTGGTCCGAAATCCGGCTTGATCCCGCTTAGAATCCCGCTCAATCCGGCTTCATCCCGCTCGATCCCGCTCAATCCGAGGCCCACTGCGGCACACCAGCCCCCCAATGGGGCTTCATCCTCTTTAATTTTTCTGACGAGAACCTCCCAGTAGTTGCCTCCTAAGTTACAGTCGGAGCGCTGAAGAAGGAAACCCTTGCGTTGGGGAGGGGCTCCGCGTTCCTTAAGTGTTTCACACCTTGCCTCAGGTTGTCCTCTAAGTTTTCGATGGGAAGTCGAAGTTTGACTCATGGAGAAAACAGGGGCCTCGTTCCTTACTTAGGGTTCCTTAGGTCAACGCCCCGACTGCACTCGAGGGGGTCTGGGGACCGGCGCAAGGCGACCGCGCCTGGACGCGCGATATCGTCGGGCCGCGTGCGCGCGCGGTGCTGCGGCGGGCGCTGCGTCTGCCCAGGTGCGCCACGGCTCCGCGCCCCCTCCCCGGGGCCGGGAAGGCCGCTGCCCCCTCCTCCCTCCCTCCTCCCTCCTCCCTCCCTCCCTCCCTCCCTCCTCCCTCCCTCTCTCCCTCCCTCCCTCCCTCCCTCCCTCCCTCCTCCTCCTCCTCCTCCTCCTCCTCTTCCTCCTCCTCCTCCTCCTCCTCCTCCTCCTCCTCCTCCTCCTCCTCCTCCTCCCTCCTCCTTCCTCCCCTCCTCCTCCTCCTCCCTCCTCCCTCCTCCCTCCCTCCCTCTCCCTCCTCCCTCCTCCTCCCTTCTCCTCCTCCTCCCCTCTCCTCCCTCCTCCCTCCTCCCTCCTCCTCCCTCCTTCCTCCTCCCTCCTCCCTCCTCCCTCCTCCTCCCTCCTCCCTCCTCCTTCTCCCTCTTCCTCCCACCTCCTCCCTCCTCCGCCGTCGCGCGTCACCGAGATCCTGCTGTTCAACTTTTTGCGCAGCGGACGGGCTCGCTCGATGTCGTCCCCCCAGGGCCATCCCAGATCCATCCAGCTCGAAAAAGGGTTGCAGGAAGATGGGGTCTGGAGTCCGGGGCTCCGGCGGCGCGACTCGCTGTGATGCTGCACTGTTTTTTGTTGCCACGTCGGGACGCACGCGGGTCTGCGCACCCAGCCTCTCTGACCGTGCGTCTGGCTCCCTGCAGCATGGGGAGGGGGAGGGGGCAGGGAGGAGGGGGGAGGAGGAGGGAGGATGAGGGAGGAGCGAGGGAGGAGGAGGGAGAAGGAGAAGGGAGGAGGAGGGAGGAGGGAGGGAGGAGGAGGAGAAGAGGAGGGGGAGGGAGGAGGGAGGGAGGAGGAGGGAGGAGGGAGGAGGAGGGAGGAGGGAGCGAGGGAGGATGAGGGAGGAGAAGGGAGGAGGAGGGAGGAGGAGGGAGGCACGCATTCGTATTGCACCGTGGACGTCATCCTTCCTCTGGCGGGGGCACCGTCAAGACATACGCCGCTCTCTCGAGCCATCCGGCCATCCAGCTGGGAGCGTTGCCCGAGCAACCGGCAGCCATCCAGCCGGCGCTTTGGGCCGTCCAGCCAGCTACAAGTCGGGCTTAAGCCCTCCACAGGAGGACTATTCAAGAATAGTCAAGAGTCAAAACTATTCAGGGGACTTTTTTTTACATTTTCGAATATTTGACAATTTCCCATTCTTCGGCCAATGTCCGCTTGTTGGAGGACACGCCCGACCTAAAGACAGCACGCCAGCTCATCCACGGGCTCAGTCAGGCGTCTCGGCATGCACCATTCGGACCTCCCGCAACGGGGCTGGGCGTCCAGCCGTCCGGCCGCCCAGCCGACCCCGCCCACGGCTCGGTGTTTGTCGGAGTCGCTGGCTGTTAGAGCTGCTTGCCCGAGGGCCATCCCCAGGGCCCCAGAAGCGACAATAGGGGCGAATAGCCCAGTGGAGAGCAAAACATGTATGCAGGTGCGCCGATGATCTATGTCTTCGAAAAGGCTCCCGGGTGAATACGTGTAATGCCCGCCCCTGGGCTATTCACCCCTATCGTCGCCGCCGAGGGCCCATCTTCTTCGTTCAAGGAAGGAACAACCTCCCCGACCCCGATCATTGGCGTTTGCTAGACGGCCCTGGGCGTTGACTGAACAGCCCTGCCTGCCCTGTTCGATTCCCTCGTTGGGTGCGTGTACTAGAAGGCTTCGCTTGTCGGGGTGTTTTTTTATGGGGGGGGATGTTCTGCTCTCTGTCTTCCTCGTGCTCCTCGTCGCACCCGTGCAAGAAGTGCGGGGCTCCATGCGGCGGCGGGCGGGTCGATGCGGCAGGCGCAGAGCGCGACGGCACCACTGCCGGGAGCACCAGCCGGTGCAGCTCTGGGTGTGAGCTGGCAGCGTGGCGGCCCTGGGACCGTGAGCGGCGTCTCAGTCCGAACGTGGAAGGAAGAAGCTTGGTGCGGCGGCTTCCAGTCGACAGGAGGAGGAGGAGGAGGAGGAGGAGGAGGAGGCAGGAAGAAGCTTGGTGCGCTGGCTTCCAGTCGACAGAGTGGGTCGGTGGTGGTGCCCGCCTGCCCGCTTGCGGGGGGCACCCAGGGCGGCCGCCCCCCCCTCCGTTGGCCCCTTCCTGCTCCCGCCCCTGGTTGATCACGTGCCCTCCTTCACCTCTCCCCTCCCCTCCTCCACCCCCTCCCCCCCGCCGTCCCTCCCTCCCCATCCTCCCCTCCCTCCCCATCCTCTCCCCTCCCCTCCTCCCTCCCCTCCAGCCCTCACCGTCCTTCCCTCCAGCCTCCTCCGATCCCCCTCCGCTCGTCACCGCCTCGGCGCCCGTGTTCCCGTCGCGGGCGGCCGTTCCTCCCGGCCCCCCGGCCCAGCCTGTCTGCCTCCTCGCTTCCCTCGTGCCCTTCCTCGCCTCCCCCTCGCCCTCTCCTGCCCTGCTCCCCCGCAGGAGGAGGAGGAGGAGGAGGAGGAGGAGGAGGAGGAGGAGGAGGAGGAGGAGGAGGAGGAGGAGGAGGAGGAGGAGGAGGAGGAGGAGGGGGAGGAGGAGGAGGAGGGGGAGGAGGAGGAGGGGGAGGAGGAGGAGGTCGGTCTCCGCCCGCCCGCCCGCCCGCCTGCCCTGTGCCGCTGGCCCCGGCCCTGCCGCCCGTGCCCGCGTCGTCGTGTGGCTGCGTCTCGCTTCGTCTCGCCGTCCTCGGCCGCCGGGCAGCACCGGCTGCCCGAAGCGGGCGGCGCGGGGCGCGTCGCGCTTGTTGATGCAATTGTGTCATGGTTTCGGGCGTGTCGCGCGTCGCGCTTGTTTATGTAATTATGTCATGGTTTCGGGCGCGTCGCGGCCTTCCCTCCTCTCATTCATCTTGTCCCCTTTCGTTCCACTCATCCATCTGCTCACCCCCTCACCCCATACGGCCTCATAGTCCGACAGCCTGGACCAGCCCAGCCGAGCTTCCTCAAAGCAAGGGCGCGCGGGCCAAGCAGGTGAAGAGCTTCTGGGCGACTTCCATTTGGCGGGTTAAGAAGTACGACGGCATCCCGTACGTGTGCCTGTCTTCGCCTAAGATAGGATCGGCGAATTTTGAGGAATGATAGGCGAGGGGGAAGGCAGATAAGAAGCAGTAATGTGGCTGGTGCCGTCTTGGACGGGCATGGCCCGAGAGCGATACCGAGGCGCAGGGCTCAACCTGTCCCAGTCGGCTCAGGAATGAAGGCCGCTCACCGTGACATCAGCCAATATTCGTGCACGGGGAAGAGGCCGCCTTCGGGGGAACGATGGGGAGGGACTGTGGCACGAGCAGGAGAAGGAGTGGCCATTGCTCGAGCCGTTGTGCTGCCCGCCGAGATCCGCCCATCGTGATACCTTCTCCCCCTGCGGCATGACATTGCGAAGAAATTCTTCTGCGAAGCGTTCAATTACCCTGGCCGTCCTGGCCACTATACTTGCATTCTACTCCAGTCCTGGTACGGATCGTTCGAACGCGCCACGGAACAGGCGTTTTGAAGCCGCCCTCGACAAATTATTTTGTTTCGAGTGATCCCCACCGAACCTTCGCCGTTTGATCCCGAAGGTGCGCGCGCTCACTGGAACGATCTGCGCCGGGCTCGGCGGGCAGAGAGGGAGAGTCGGCGCGGGGGTGTGGTGCTGGTGGTAGCTTGTGCTGGTTATGCAGAGTGGGCGTTGAGTCCGCACGGGCGCGCTCATGTTGTGTTGTGAGGTGTGGTGCTATGCTATGTTCTGCGTGACCAGTTATGTCATAGCTTATGGTGTTCTGTTTTTTGCGTTGCTATAACATCATCTGCCGTGCCCTGTCACGTTATGCTTTGTCGTGCGATGTAATGGCATAGGCTGTGCTAAAGCGTGCTTTGTTGTGTCATGACATATGGTGTGATGCTCTGCTATGACATGCGACGTTATACTATGTCATGTACGCTATGCTCTGCTCTGCTATGACATGACATGACATGACATGACATACTATGACATGCTCTGCTATGACATGCTCTGCCATGTATGCTCCGATACGTCGTGTCATGCGTGGTTATGCTGTGTTGTGATATGATCGGCTATGCCATATTTTGTGATGGTGTGACATGTGCTGCTGTGGTAGGTTGAGTTCTGCGTTGTCCTGTTATGGTATTATTGATGTGTCATGCTATTGAATGATATATGATGTGATGCTGTGCTGTGGTACGCACTGCTCTGTCATGGTGTGTTATGTTCTTATGTGGGCTGTCATGATATGGTATGTTATGCTCGGATGTGTTCTGTTCGGTGGTGTAGTGTTATGCTCTGTTCTGTGGGGGACCTGGGGATCTGGCGGCTGCGGTATGCAGAGTGGGCGAGTCGGCGCGGGGGGCGGGACCCTCAGGGATTATCGGGAGACCTGGGGATCTGGCGGCCGCAGTATGCAGAGTGGGCGAGTCGGCGCGGGGGGCGGGACCATCAGGGATTATCGGGAGCCTGGGAATCTGGCGGCCGCGGTATGCAGGGCGGGAGGAGGGCGGGACCACCAGGGATTATCGGGAGCCTGGGGATCTGGCGGCCGCGGTGTGCAGGGCGGGCGGGCCGGGAGGCCTGTTCTGAAGCCCTAACGATCCCAACCTGTCGGATGGGAAACGCACTGCGTAGGTGTCCGTGCTCAACGCATGTGGCGCGACATGGGGCAGGATGATCTCGGCCAATACGCACCAGCACACGGGATGCCGCTGTGGGCCTCTGGAGAGCTTGCCGTGGAGCGTCTTGCGCCTGGTGCCTGCACGCCCAGCGCAGGCGGGAGCTGCCCATCGGCCCGGACGGACGCCCGATCTCCCCACAGGATTTTGCTTGCTCCGCCCGACTGCGTCATCCCTGATCCTGGCTTGAAGCACCCTCGCGCTGGCGAGTGTTTCGTTCACGCTTCGCCGACTTTTGTGTGTTCACCAGCATCGAACCTATCCCTATCCCTAAGATTGACACGCCAAAAGGCGATGACAATCTTAGGGATGCGCCCTGAGAAACTAAGGGAATCCCTAAGATTGGCACTGTGATGAGGCGATGCCCAGCTTAGGGATAGGGATATGTTCCAGGCTGGTAATGTGTGACGAGAACTTGTGCATGCCGAAACCTACGTCCGGGCCCGATTCCTGCAACTTCGGTCGTCGAATTGGCGCCATGGTAGATGGGGCTCGGCGCGGTTTGGAGCTTGCTGTTCTCCATCCCGACGTCACCGGTGCCCCGGCGATGCGTCGGCGGTGCGGTGCGATCTTCCGACCCTATCCACTCTGATCCTATTTCGCGGCCATCTAAGAAGGGGCATGCAGAAAGCTGGAACAGATGTTGAGACATTATTCGTAGAATCCCTGTGCCCGATGACTCCCGATGCCGTCCTTTGGCTCGTGCTTCGCAAAAGCGTGCTGCTGGTAGTGTTGGTGGAAGAGTCTCCCAGTCGGACCCCTTCCCAAGACCTAATGCGTCGACGTGTTTTGTTTCTCCTGTGGGATGCCCCCGAAGCTCTCTCCGCGCCGAGTCGTCGTGGGCGGCTTCCGATGCAGTGCAGCGTGGTCTGAGGATCACCTCCTGCTTTTCCTCCTCCACCTCCTCCTCCTTCTCCCTGAGAGCTCTCTCCCCCAGCAATGCGATGTCACGATGTTGTTTCAGTCGGGGTCCCCGAACGTCCCGACCCTTCCCCCGGGGCCGGCTCTTCGTCGTGAGTCGTCGTTTTCTGACGGTCCCGGGGCGCGGCGAGGGCCACCCGAGGCAGAAGATTGTCAAGGGCCTCCCGTCCTGCTGTCTCCCGCGCCGCGAGCACGTCTGGGGCTCTCGGAGAGCTCTCCCTCGCGCCCTTCCCGCGGGACCGCCGTGCTGCCGTTCCGCGACCCCGCCGTGGACGACCCGCGGGGCGGGGCGTGGCCCATCTCGAGGCCGACAATGCCGCGACGCGGCCTCGGCCCCTGGACGCCAGGCCAGCCCAGGGCCAGGGGAAGGGGGGGAGGAGGGGGGAGAGAGGGAGGAGGAGGAGGAGGAGGAGGAGGAGGAGGAGGAGGAGGAGGAGGCCCAGGCCAGGCCAGCCAGGCCAGGCCAAGCCCTCGACCCGCAGCTCCCAAGACGCCAGGCCCTTGGCATCGCTCGGACGTGTGCATTCTCTTTCTCGGCGAGGACCTTCGAAGAGCATCCTCGACCATTTGGCGAAAAAACCACGCACGAAACGGAACAAAACACAGGGAATGGACGCCCGAGCGATGGCCAGGGCTGGGCGTTGCCACGGGAGCCCCCCCGGGGCTGCAGGGCCAGAGGCCAGCAAGAGTTGTCGGGGGCGGCGGAGAGGAGGGGTGAGGACTATATATGATCCAGGGTCGAGGGTTCACGGGCCCCCCCCCCCCAGATGGTATGGTCCCAGGATTCCTCGGGCCCCCCCCCCCCCAGATGGTATGGTCCCAGAGACGACGACGACGACGACGACGACGACGGCGGCGACGACGACGACGACGACGACGACGGCGACGACTACGACGACGGCGACGACGACGACGACGACCACGACGACGACGACGACGGCTGCGGCGGCGACGACGCCGGCGGCGGCGGCGGCGACGACAACGATGACGACGATGACGACGGCGACGACGACGATGACGACGACGACGACGACGACGACGACGATGACGACGACGACGACGACGAGGACGACGAGGACGACGACGACGACGACGACGACTCTGAACCACCACAGCACCACACCACATCCACATCCACAGGGGGGAGGGGGGCACCGCAGCACAGCACCACGCCACTCCCACTTCTGAACCACCACAGCACCACACCACATCCACAGGGGGGGGGGCACCGCAGCGCAGCACCACGCCACGCCCACAGGGGGGGGCGGGGGGGACCATCGCGCGGGGGGGGGGGGGGGGGAATGGCATCAGCATTGGGGGGGGGGGGGGTGCCCAAGCCCTGGACCATATATAGGGGGTGTGGGTATCATAGCGGGGGGCATGAGATCTCCCCAGGTTTCATGGCGCCTCGTCCTGTTTCAGTGCGTCCCTGGCCCCCCTCACCCCCTGGGCCGCGCAGATGCCGCCGGCCATGGTTTGCGTCCCCCCCTCTCATGGACGCCCCCCTCTTGGCCGCCCCCGAAAATGTACCCAGGCATGCTCGTGTCATGACAAAAATCAGGGCGGGAGGTTGTTCTCCGCTTTCGGCTTTGGGGGCCCTTACTGGGCCTCTGGACCGTGAAGAAACGACTCAGCATGAAAAACAGGAAGGCTCGAGACTCCAGGGACCACGTGTATTGAATCAATCAGGACGTCGCATGTCTGGGCGTGTACGTGTTCGCGGGTGTGCCCACCAGCGTTTGAGCGTGGCCACACGTGCACGCGTGATCGCGGAGGGCGTACATGCACCCATTTGCTTTGGCCTGACCGCAGGGCGTCCCCCGGAGTTCCAGGGAGGCCCCCGCGGTCTCCAGGGTACCCCTCGTATACATTCGGAGGACTGTACACATCGCAGAGCTCTCGCGGCCCCCGTCCCCCGGGGGCTGTTCTGTGTCCCGGGCCCACTCTTGATGGGCCGCGGGGCCCGGAAGCGGCCCCCTTGGGGCCGCAATGGGGACGTGGCACGAGCGTGAGCCCGACGAGAGCACCTGCGCCTCTCGCGGAGAGGAGCACGGCCGCTGCAGGGCTTCGTGCCCCAGCGACGCCCAGAGCCGGTGCCCCGGCGACGACGGGGCCGGTCGGCGTCGCAGTTCGCCCTCGCCTCGAGGTCTGCGCCCCTTCCTTGGGGCCCGCAGGCCGAACACTTTTCTGAATGTCATCATGCAGGAGGGGGGTGTCTATTTTTTGGGGGGGGGAGATCTGATCGGAACTGTCTTGGAGGGTTCCAGGGGGGTCTGGACAAAAGGCTGCCCATTCGTGGCTGGTCTGGGGGGGGTCTAAAGTTGCGGGCCTGGGAGGGTCTTGACCCCCTCCCCTGTCTCACGAGATCTGGAGCATCAAGCGACACGTTTCGTCGTGATGTTCCATGGCGCGAGGCGGCCAGGGTGTAGCACGCCACAGCCAGAGGGGGGAGGGGCACCCGTGTGAGCGGACAACGGACTCGGGGGGGGGGCCTGGCTCGAAGGCGCTTCCGGGTGCACTTCCTCTGCCAGTCATAGGCTGAGCCTGCTCGCAGGTTGTGTGGGTGTCGTGCCGCGGCTCCGCTGGCGCGCGCGGAGTGTGCCGCGACGCCTGGAGCGTATGCTGAGCAGACGCCGCGCTCACCTGGGCAGGACGCCCCTGTCGCACGGGTGGCCCGCACCATGGTGCCCGCAGCTGAAGCCGAAGCGGCAGCCGAAGCGCACAGAAGAACGGAGAAGGGCCCACCCTGCAGGTCTGGCAGCACATCGTTGATCGATGGGGAAGGTAACAGATAATGAACATGAGTTGGTGGCGGTCCGCGTGGGTTTCTTGAATTGCATGCGTGCACCCTGGCAGTGCAGCTTCCCAGCAGTTGCAGCCAGCCGGCCCCTCCACTCGCCGGCCTGCCCGCCGAGGTGCTGCGTGAGGCTGCGGCCCACCGCTCTAGGTTAATTCGTCTTTGCGCGGCCCGCTCTGACTGGACTCGCCGCCGGCGCTCTCGCCTGCGGCCGCTGACCAAAAAGTGGGTTTCTTGAATCTGCGCTGGCCCCCCCTGGCAGTGGCTTCGGCGCCGCCCCTGGCGCGCTCCACGCCCCAGGGGGGGGGTCCAGCACAGATCCAAGAACTCCGCGCGGACCGTCGAACAGTTGCAGTCAACCCGCATAGTCAGGACGATCGACTTCCCAAGGGTACCCTTGTATCCTTGAGGAGGAGGAGGAGGAGGAGGAGGAGGAGGAGGAGGAAGCGGAAGCGGAGGCGGCGGAGGACGAGGAGGAGGAGGAGGAGGAGGAGGAGGAGGAGGAGGAGGAGGAGGAGCAGGCGGAAGGGGGAGTTGGGAGGAGGAGGAGCCGCTCATCTTCGGCTCATCCTCGACCACCTTCGATGGCCAGCCCCGCTCGACGAGCCTCGGCATGGGCGCCCAAGGCCCTTGCATCCCTGCCGCGCGTCCCAGCACAGTCGAGTCTGATGAGTGGATCGACCCTGCCAAATCAAGGGTACCCCCTCGTGTCCTGTGCTTCGCGACAGGTGCCTTCCACATTCTTGTGGCAGTGCGGCCCTCGGAAGGATTTGTTGTGCCCGCTCGCGTGCCCTCCCCAGTCCAGCCCGACTGTGTGCGGGCCGGGGGGGCCCAGCAGGTGCCCCCCGGAGGCCGACAAGTGCCCAAAACGCGCCGTCCTGCGCGCGCCTGCCCAGGTCGCGAGGATGGAGGAGGAGGAGGAGGAAGAGGAGGAGGAGGAGGAGGAGGAGGAGGAGGAGGACGACGAGGAGGAGGAGGAGGCGCATGTGCTTACGCAGTCGTCTGCCTCTCTGGCTGGGCCCTGGGCACTCCGCCCCCCCCGCCCGCGGCCCCGCCGCCGCGGAGGCCCCCCCTCGCGGGGGGGCCCCGGCGGCCAGCGCGCCGTGGCCGAGGTGCACGTCGGCCCCCACGGCCACGCTGCGCGGGCTGCCCCACTGCCGCGTGCCCTCCGAGGAGTCCTACGGCACGGACGAGGCCGACCCCGCCGCGGGGGGGCGCGAGGGCCGCGTTCACGCGCCAGGAGCACAGCCGCCGCCTCTCCGCGGGGCTCGCGGGGCGGGGCTCGCGGGGCCGCGACCTGCGGAGCGTATATGCTGCCGCGACCGCCGCGGCCCGCACGGAGCGCGGCCGTGCGGCCGCGTCTCCGTGGCATCGAGCCCCAGAGTGCGGACCGCGAGCGAGGGCGCGGACGCGGATGCGTGCGCCGCGCGTGGCGCGCCCGGTCGGGGCCAGGAGCAGGTCCAGGATGCCGCGTCCCCTCCCTCGTGCCCCATCCCCTCTCCTGCCTCCCTCCCGGCCTCTCCCGCCGTGCATCCCTCCGCGGTCCCAGTCGACGCAGATCCCACGCCGTCTGGCTGGTAGACTGCTTGCTCACCCGCTCCCTGCACAGGGCCGAGCAGCTGCTAGGCCTGCTCGTGAGGCCTTCCTCACCTCAAACGCACATGGCGGCCCAACACACGGTGACGATATGTCGTCCAACACCTGCCGCCCAGAGACCTGGTCGGAGAATTGTGCGTTGCACGTTGTCCCGTGGCGTTGCTACGAAACCCCACGGAACAGGGCCCAGATACTTTGGTGTACGCGGCATCGCGCGATTCCCACCTGGGCTTCACGCGGAGGCGGAAGGGGTCTTGAGGGACACGGGTTCCAAGGTTTCTCACCATTTGCGTGTTCGGGCTGGCGTCTTTTGGCCCCTGGGGGCCGTCACAGAACGACTCGGAACGACGCGCTGGTGCTGAGGGAAGCCGCTGGGGTCCAGGACCCGTTTCCCTCAGGACCCGCTCGTCTCATGCCACAGATTTGTTTGTTACAGTCGGCCCGCATGGTAAGGATGGGCAACCTTCCTAAGGGTACCCTTGCATCCTTGTAGTCTCGGTCCATGCTTGGCTGCTTGGCCGCTTTCGTTGACCGCGCCCCGCTCGAAAAGCTCCGAAATGCGCGTCCACAGCCCTTGCATCCTTGCCCCTCATCCTCATGATACGGGTTCACTGTATCAGTGGTGGCGGTTTCCATCTGTTTCGGCCTCCCGGTCCGGTCTCTGGCCCCGGGCCTGGTCGGCTCTGGGGTCGGCCCCGGCCGCGGCGCACGCCGGTTTGGCGCGGCGGCCATCCGCCTTTGGGAAGCATTGAAGGGGAGGGGGTGCTCGGGGGGGAGACGGCTTCCAAGGATGTCGCGTCTCTTCGATACATCCCAAGGGTTGCTTTTTTTGCAGTCGTGGCGCCTGTCCATCCGCTGCGGCTTCCGGGTCTGGTCTCGGCCCCCAGCGCACGGTCGGGTGCCGGACCCCAATTGGATGTTTAATTCTTCACGCTTCGCGTATCCCCACCAGCCCATCTCAAAACAGCAACTCTAGCGAAGCATGCCGACAGTCGTGTTTTTCAGGCGTGTTTCCGCCTGCCCCCGCATATCTCCCCTGTTCCTCCTTCCTCCCGCCTCCTTGTACATCCTCCTTGTGGTGGGAGCGGGAGAAGGACGAGGCGGAGGAGGAGGGAGAGAAAGCGCTCCTCGTGGTTTGAGTCGTTTGGGGTTTCTCGTCCTGGTGTGAGTCGTTCGGGCCCTTCTTCCTGGTGTGAGTCGTTCGGGCTCTTCGTGGTGTGAGTCGTTCGGGCTCTTCGTCCTGTCCTGGTGTGAGTCGTTCGGGCTTCTCGTGGTGTGAGTTGTTCGGGCCCCTCGTCCTGGTGTGAGTCGTTCGGGCCCCTCCTCCTGCCCGTCCAGAAACGACGCCCAGGCGAGTAGAGGGTCGTCCTGATGGGCTTTTCGGCGTCTTGGGTGCCTCGGGGGGGCCTCTTTGGGCCGTTTGGGATCCTCTTGGGGGCCTCCTGGGGCCATCTTGGGGCCTCTTGGTGCCTCTTGGGCGCTTCTTGGGGCCATCTTGGAGGAAATCGATCAAAGAAGAGGGGAGCTTTAATTAGCGCTGCCCCCTCAGAAGGCCAAAATGGGGCCAAAACCTTAGTAAAATCAATGATTTTGGCTTGAAAGAAGAGGGGAGCTTTAATTAGCGCTGCCCCCTCAGAAGGCCAAAATGGGGCCAAAACCGTGGTAAAATCAATGATTTTGGCTTCAAAGAAGAGGGGAGCACTTTTCTGCCTCCCCCCGTCGGGGCCAGAATCCTCGTGAGGGGTGTCGTTTTTTAGCCCTCCCAGGAGTCGAAAAAGACCCCTCCAACGACCCGCGGGGCGCCCTCTCCAGGCCCAGGGGGAGGGGGTAGGGGAAGGGGTAAACCCCTCCCCGAAGGGGAAGAAGGGGGTTGAGAACAGAGCGGGCTCTCTAAACCACTCACGCCCAAAGGGCTGGTGGGATTCTCTACGACAAATGGCGAGCCCTACGCAGCCTACACCTGCGAGTCCCATCGACGGTGGCCCAGACATGCTCGCGCCGCAAAAAAACACGACGGATTGTAGTCCGGAGTTTTTGGCCTGCGGGGGCCCTCGCCAGGGTCCACATATACATATATTCCTCTTCCTATTTTTTTTAGGCCCGGGGGGAGGAAACCCATCACCCCCCCCCCCCAAAACCGGACTCCCGGGATCTGGGGCTTTGGGACCCTCCAGACGGGCCTCGAAGCGGCCACCGGGCCTCACATGGCGTTTTGCCAAGCCTTCCCAGCACACCTAGGGCGATCAGGGGGTCATCGGAGACGTCCCAGAGACCCCCAAGACAGCACAAGAGCGCTCCAAGAGTGACCGACGTGACCTCAAGATGGCCCAAGAAGCCTCCAGGACGGCCCCCAATAGGCCTCCAAAAGCACTCCCAAGAAGGCCCCCCGAGGCAAAAATCATACATTTTCTGTGGGTTGTGGTTAATTGTAGGGTTCTCCTCTTTTCGGCTTCCCGACGCTCCAAGACGGCGGTATTCTGGGCGTCCGAAGCCGCCTGGGAGGCTCCAAGAGCGCCCCACAACCATCCGAAAGGGCTTCCAGGCAGTCCAAGAGAGCCCCAAAACGGCACAACACGGGTCCAAGATGGCCCTCAGAGAGCTCCATGACGGCCCAAGATGACCCAAAGACACCCTCCGAAGAATTCCAAATCGTGATTCGGTCGTTCAGGGAGACCGCGGTTGGAGGCAGGGTGGCCCGAGGAAGCCCCAGGAGGCCCCCAGAATACGCCCAGGAGGTCTCCAGAAGGCCTTAAGAAAGCCTGAAACAACTTTTGTGAGGCCCCCAGAGGCTCTCCAAGGAGGAGCCTCCGCAAAAAGGAGCTGAGGAGGATGGGGAGAATGCGCAGGGCATGGCGAAATTAAGGAAAAATAAGCATGGAGGAAGGACAACGAATAACATTATCATAGCGGCGATGCCAGAAAAGGCAACCAGGAGTTATCTCTAAATTGTCGGCTTGACCTTCCTGCTATTCCGCCTGCATACCAAACTTCAAGGACCAAGGTGCATGACGCGAAGCGCCACTGCAGTCTTGTATATATATATATATGTATAAATATATAGATACACATTAAAAAACAAAAACAAAAAAACGCAGGATGAAAAACCAGCCCCGGGAAAATGGGCCTGATTTATGGGGGGGAAGCCCCATTGCTCTAGGCCTCCCAGATGAGGTCGGAGTAGATAGGGTCGGAGGATCGCGCCGCATCGCCGATGTATCGGCGATGCGGCTCGATTTGGGGCCCGATTTTCTCCACGCCGACGTCTCGGATATATCGCCGACGTCGACCATGCATCGGCGATGTATCGGCGATGCGGCGCGATCCTCCGACCCCATCTACTCCGACCCCATCTAGGAGGCCTCTAATTGCAAACATCAAGATATCGCATGTTTGGGAGGGTATCGCACACCCCCGCTTGGGTTCACATGGCTTCAGGCATCCTCCGAGTTCTGAACACCTCTCGGTGTTGCAGAAGTCCGACCTGCAGGTTGTAGGGTTCGCATGTGGTTGCCTGCTTTTGCCGTTTTCTGGCTCACAGGGTTCTGCTCTGGGCCTCGGGGCCGTCAGCACAAGTTGGTCCCTCGACAAGCCCTTCTGTTCACTGTAGGACCCGTCTCTGCCATTACATCCTTGCCTTTGAGGCCTACGGTCGCTTGGTTGGCGTGGCGGTCGGCTGGTCCTTTTCCTCTTCTCCTGCCACTCCTTCTTCCTCCTTCCTCTCCCTCCCTTCTTCACCGTTGCCTCACTCCGCTTTCCCCCCCATCCCTGTTCCTTTCGCTTGAACGCTAGGGGTGCGGGCCTCGTGATCGCACACGCATCGCAAGTATTAGGATGGCTTGGCCCCGACAAGTATTCGTTCGCTCGTACGTCTCGCTCCCCCCTCCTCTCTCCAGCTTTTCTCGGATGCTGCTATCATGTTTGAACTCGTTGCTGACTGCGTCCGCTGGCATGGCCTGACCAGGATGGTTGGTGGAGGGGGCAGGGCTAGATGCGACTGTTTCCGCGTGATTTCGTGTGCTTTGGGTTTTGAGTGCTGGGCCAGGGGAGTTTGCAGAAAGCGTTGGGCGTAGACCCACCAGTTCCAGTCAATGTTTGTTGCATCCGGCCATCGGTCTGATATGGCGGAACTCGCCCACTTTATAAGCCTGCCATTGCCCCGTCTTCATTCTGGCCGCAATTTTTCCCAACCATCCTGTGGTGTTGGGTCCTCGTTTTGAAGAGACGGTGCCCCGCGTTCCTCTCCTCCTCCTCCCCCTCCTCCCTCCTCCCATCGTCATCATCATCATCGTCGTCGTCGTCGTCGTCATCATCATCATCATCATCATCATCATCATCATCATCATCATCATCATCATCATCATCATCATCATCATCATCATCATCATCATCGTCATCATCGTCATCGTCACCCCGCCCATTTCGGCACACCCCTCATACGTTTCGTGGCCCCATAGGGAGCTCCACCGAAGGCCCCAGTGGCAGGGTCCGCATGCCTCCCCATTACCCATTTCGGCACACCCCTCACACGTTTCGTGGCCCCATAGGGAGCTCCACCGAAGGCCCCAGTGGCAGGGTCCGCATGCCTCCCCACCACCCATTTCGGCACACCCCTCACACGTTTCGTGGCCCCATAGGGAGCTCCACCGAAGGCCCCAGTGGCTGCGTTCGCATGCCTCCCCACCACCCATTTCGGCACACCCCTCACACGTTTCGTGGCCCCATAGGGAGCTCCACCGAAGGCCCCAGTGGCAGGGTCCGCATGCCTCCCCACCACCCATTTCGGCACACCCCTCACACGTTTCGTGGCCCTCCATAGGGCAGGGACCGGGCCCCTAGTCCACCGGCCCCAGTGGCAGCCCCGCATGCGGCCCACCACCCATTTCGGCACACCCCTCACACGTTTCGTGGCCCCATAGGGAGCTCCACCGAAGGCCCCAGTGGCAGGGTCCGCATGCCTCCCCACCACCCATTTCGGCACACCCCTCACACGTTTCGTGGCCCCATAGGGAGCTCCACCGAAGGCCCCAGTGGCAGGGTCCGCATGCCTCCCCACCACCCATTTCGGCACACCCCTCACACGTTTCGTGGCCCCATAGGGAGCTCCACCGAAGGCCCCAGTGGCAGGGTTCGCATGCCTCCCCACCACCCATTCGGCACACCCCTCACACGTTTCGTGGCCCCATAGGGAGCTCCACCGAAGGCCCCAGTGGCAGGGTCCGCATGCCTCCCCACCACCTATTTCGGCACACCCCTCACACGTTTCGTGGCCCCATAGGGAGCTCCACCGAAGGCCCCAGTGGCAGGGTTCGCATGCCTCCCCACCACCCATTTCGGCACTCCCCAACACCCATTTCGGCACACCCCTCACACGTTTCGTGGCCCCATAGGGATCTCCACCGAAGGTCGGGGGGAGCTTGAGACTCTGGTGACACATGCGTTGGCACGTCTGTGTGGCTATCGGGTGGCTGGAATCGTTGGGGTAATCCGTGGGGAATGGGCTGTGGAAGTCGCTTCTGAGGGCCCTGCCACTCCATCTCACGGTCCAAATCCACGGGCAGAGCATCAGGTTTGACCCTTCTGCTTCCAACTCAGGGCGTCCCCAGTATATGAAGTGCGTCACCCGTACCTTGTAATTTTGTTCTCTATGAGTTCATGCAGTTCGTGTTTTTCGTGTTCCCAGACCACCATTCCCGGGTTACATGTTCAGTGTCCGGAGCCAACTGTAGGCCACTTCGTGTTCTTCCTGTTCCCAGAACACCATTCGTGCGCGGAATACACTCGGCGCTGAACCCTCTGGTGCTCGTGCCAGTAGCGCTGAACTCTGGTTGTCGCTGACGCTTGGATGACCCCAGCTCGTCGTCGGGATTTCTCGCCAGAGGATGACCGGCGCCTGTCGGGGGATTTCACCCAGATCGCGCAATTTTCGCATCGCCTCGCCGCGCAGCACGGGGGAGCTATCCGTTTACTTTGAGTCGCAGTGGACGACCCCCGCGCGTCGATGGGATTCCCTCGGGATGACCAGACCGCGTCGGTGGGGACTCCCCAGCACTTTCGAGCGGCTCCGCCTGCGCAGTGCACTCTGCGTGGCTCGCTATCGGCCCGGAGGCAAAAATGTCACCCCTCGTCTCTCGCTCCTCTTGCTTCCTTTTGCTTCTTGACCGCGGGCCCCCCCGGTCTCGTCTCTGCCGCTGCTGACCTGCCTTCGACATCTACACGGTTTCTCCGCCACCTCTTCCTGCGTGCCCAATAACAGGTCTCATGATGCGATGATGATACTGATGTGTTGGCTCGCCCCAGTGAGCTCTCCTCCTCCGCCCGCCACCTCCTGCCCGCGCTGCCCTGCGCCTCGTCCATGCAGTGGCGCGGTGCCTATGAGAAGAGGGGCCTAGTTTGCGTGCCCCTTCCTTCGTCTCATATCCGTGCGGTACTCGCAGCTGCATATGGTTGGGTCCTTCGCCAGGCTAATTTGAAACTTCGTCGCAGCCGCATGGCACGGAGAGCAATGGTCTCATGCTCCTTGCTCCTCCCCCTTCTGGCAAGGGCTTCGTCTGGCTCCGAATCGACGACTTCTGCTCCATCTACGACATCGTGTACGAGTGCAGGCTGGTGAACTCGGACCTCGGCTCCGTCGAGAAGGCCCCTACTCAGTCCTACCCCCCGCCCTGTCGGTGCGGGGCGCGGGGGAGGCCGGGAGATGCACCGATTCTTGGGGACGAGTTGAGCGCGAGAGGCTCGCATCCCCCCTCGATGCGGCGGCTGTTTTGGGCGCCTCTTGGGCCATCTTTGGGCCATTTTGAGCTGTCTTGGGCCTCTCTTGGGCCGTTTTGGGGCCATCTTAGGCTTCCTTGCGCCTTCCGTGGGTCCCACTTGAACTGCTTTGGGTGCCTCTTGGGCCGCCCCGAGGCCTTGGGGGCCTCTTGGCCCGTCCTGGGTCGATCTGGAAGGCTTCTAAGGCATTCGTGGACGCTTGAAAAAACAAAAGAACATATGTTGAAATTTGTACTGTTCGACCGGAAATATAGGGCAGTTGTTGCTTGTCAGGGCCTTCGTCATGGTCGCCAACAAGTCTTCTAAAGACATCTCGGAGGTTTCCAGAGCTGCTCTGAGATCACAGTGGCACTGCTTGGGGCCATCTGGGGCCACGAGGAGAAAATGGCGGGGCAACGTGGAGGTTGCGGAAGCAATTTCGAAGCCGTCGGAGCCTGTCCGCGAGCAGGGCCCAGGCTGCCGGCACCGCGCCGGCACCGCGCCGGCACCGCCGGCTTTTTTTGTACCCCATCCCCCCCCCCCACCCTTCCGAACCGGCCGGGCCGACCTCTCCAGGGAGGCGTTTGCGCAGAGCTTACATTTCACACGCCGAGTGACCCCAAGGGGGCTGCTGTTTTGATCGGCGGTTTTTAGGGGCCCCCGAATGCGGAGATCGTTCAGTATTGAACGGATCACGCGGTGTCAGATACACCGGCGGACGTCGCCAACTATATGTCCACGTTGCTGGCCTTGGCGATACTTGGATACCCCCATGACGGCATGGCTTGCTTCCCGCGCGACACACGCGGTATTTTAGATTCATGTTGCATCTGTCATGTGCCGTGGGCCCTGAACTGTCAGTCATTGCTTTACAGATGTGTCAGCTCTGTGGTGCAAGCTTTGTGGCGTCAGGTAGGCGGCGCGAGGCATGGATTCAGAGCTACTTGCTGCTATCCCCCTGGCGCAAAACTGCGTGGCTCAAGCTTTGTGGTATCAGCTCCGTGGTGCCACCTGTGTGGTGCAAGCGGTGTGGTGCTATCCACGTGGTGCAGGCTATGTGGTGCAGTCTGTGCGGTGCAAGCTGCGCGGTGCGCGCTGCGTGGTGGCGCGGGGCACCGCGGCGGCAAAACGGGCGGGAGCGCGGCAGGTCCTTGGCGGAACCCCCACAGCGGCCAGCCGGCGGCGGGCGGCCGCGGGCCCCAACCTGGCGGATCCTCGGGACACCCCCGAAGGCGGAGGAGGAGGAGGAGGAGGGGGAGGAGGAGGAGGGGGAGGAGGAGGAGGAGGAGGAGGAGGAGGAGGAGAGAGGAGGAGGAGGAGGAGGAGGAGAGGAGGAGGAGGGAGGAGGAGGAGGAGGAGGAGGAGGAGGAGGAGGAGAGGGGGAGGAGGAGGAGGCCCTTGGTGCGCAGCTCTGGGGGGAGCGCGAGGGGGCCGAGCCTTCGGGACGCCCCGCAGGCGGCAACGGCGTGGGGCTGGGTCGTGAAGACTCCCTGGGACACCCCCACAGGAGACGACGAGCGGCCACGGAGCAGCAACGGGCCGGATCGTGGCGGATCCTCGGGACGCCCCTCCGATTCCTGAGAAGCGCAAGTACGACCCCCTAGGCGCAATCACTGGTTGGGGAGCTTTTGACAACCATCCTGTAGTGCTGGGTGCTCGTTTCGAAGAGACAGCGCCCCGTGTTCTCCTCCTCCTTCTTCTCCTCTCCTCCTCCCCCTCCTCCCTCCTCCATCCCTGACTCTGCCTCCCCCACCCAGCAAAGCGTTTCGTGGCCCCATGGGAAATTCCACCTAAGGCCTCAATGGCGGTGTCCGTATGCATTTCCCCCACCCAGCACAGCGATTCGTGGCCCCGTAGGGACCTCCACCGAAGGCCCCCTTGGCGATGTCCACATGCGTCTCCCCCACCCATTACAGCGTTTTGTGGCCCCCATAGGGAGCTCAACCTATGGTCCCAGTGGCGGTGTCCACACGCGTCTCCTCCGCCCAGCAGAGCGACTCGTGGCCCCATAGGGAGCTCTACCGAAGGCAGCAGTGGCGGTGTCAACCTGCGCCTCCCCCGCCCAGTACAGCGATTTGCGGCCCCATAGGGAGCTCCACCTAAGGCCCCAGTGGCGGTGTCCACATGCGTATCCCCCACACTGCACAGCGCTTCCTGGCCCCATGGGAAGTTCCACCTAAGGCCCCAGTGGCGGTGTCCACATGCGCCTCCCCCGCCCAGTACAGCGATTCGTGGCCCCATAGGGAGCTCCACCTGAGGCCCCAGTGGCGGTGTTCACATGCGGCTCCCGCCCTCCCAGCATAGCGTTGCGTGGCCCCATAGGGAACTCCACCTAAGGCCCCAGTGGCGGTGTCCACATGCGTATCCCCCACACTGCACAGCGCTTCGTGGCCCCATGGGAAGTTCGACCTAAGGCCCCAGTGGCGGTGTCCACATGCGCCTCCCCCGCCCAGTACAGCGATTCGTGGCCCACAGGGGGCTCCACCTAAGGCCCCAGTGGCTGAGGCCACAAGCACAGCGCTTTGTGGCCTCACAGGGGGTTCCACCTAAGGTCCCAGTGGCGGTGTCCACATGCGGCTCCCCCACCCAGCACAGCGTTTCGTGGCCCCACAGGGAGCTCCACCTAAGGTCCCAGTGACGGTGTCCACATACGTCTCCCCCACACAGCACAGCGTTTCGTTGCCCTATAGGGAGCTCCACCCAAGGCCCCACCTGCGTTCCCCCCACACAGCACAGCGATTCGTGACCCCATAGGGAGCTCCACTTAAGACCCCAGTGGCGGTGTCCACATGAGTCCCGCCCTCCCAGCATAGCGCTGCGTGGTCCCATGGGGAGCTCCACCTAAGGCCCCAGTGATGGTATCCACATGCGGCTCCCCGACACAGCACAGCGATTCGTTGCCCCATAGAGAGCTCAACCTATGGCCCCAGTGGCGGTGTCCACACGCGCCCCCCCCACCAGCTCAGCGATTCGTGGCCCCATAGGGAGTTCCACCTAAGTCCCCAATGATGGTGTCCATATGCGTCCCCCCCACCCAGTACAGCGCTTCGTGGCCCCATAGGAAGCTCCAACTAGGCCCCACCGGCGGTGTCCACATGCGTCTCCCCCACCCAGCACAGCGTTTCGTGGCCCCATAAGAGCTCCACCGAAGGTCCCAGTGACGGTGTCCACATGAGTCCCGCCCTCCCAGCATAGCGCTGCGTGGTCCCATGGGAACTCCACCTAAGGCCCCAGTGGCGGTGTCCACATGCGTCGCCCCCACCCAGCGTAGCGTTTCGCGGTCCCATAGGGAGCTCCACCGAAGGCCCCAGTGGCGAAGTTCGCATGCGCCTTCCCCACCCAGTACAGCGCGCCGTGGCCTGCAGGGAGCACCACCGAAGGCAATATCCTCATCTGCGGCACTCACAACTGCATGCGGTTGGATCCTTCTCCAGGCTTTTTTTCCATGTATGTATATAGGTATATACATTTATAGAAGCAATATCTATGTGTACAGTATCACCCCGAGTTCTCATGTTAATCTGGCTGTGTGTATTAGCATCATCTTGGTAGCCGTCCTCAGCATTGGTCTACCTTGTGACTGTCCCTCCACGGCCACCACCAATCGATGCCAAGGGTAGTTGGCACCGCATGCTCTGCATCTATGTATTTTCCCTTTTCCATTATTTCCCCCCCATGCTCCCCCTTCGAATCCATTCTGGCCCAAGGGCTCAAACCACCCATTTGAGCATCAGGAACCTCCCGATTTCCCGATTAACTTACTTTGTTATACACATCCAACTTGATTCGACACATGTCGAGCATATTCACAACCCGCATGGCCACCATGGACACGCGTAGCGTCATCATCCTGGCGATCGCCGTGTGCTGCGCTGTGCTTCCCCTCGAGATCACTCACCTGCTGTCCGCCTGTGTCGGGGCCGGCCTCTACCTTCTGGTCCAGGCGCTCCAGGGCGCCAGCGTCCCGCCGAACCGGGCCGGCCCCCGCGAGGCTCAGGGCGGCAAGGCTGCCAAGGCGTGGCGCCCAGGGACGTCCAGGGAGTGGGCGCCGAGGAGCGCCGAGAGGCCGGCCAGGTGCCGAGACGGCCCAGGCTGCGGCCGCCCCGCGCCGGAGGTCGCCGGCAGGGGCGCACCCCGGCTCGAGGTGCGCAAGCCGAGCGCCGTGCCCGTCCTGGCGCCCACCTTCCAGTCTTCGGGCTGGGAGGCGGAGGTTCGAGGAGCAGCCAATCGGGGCAGCGTAGGGTTCCAGCTTTTCCGCGAGAGCTCGGGCTCGCCGACGCTTTTTGGGGGGCCCGTCCTGGACTGTGACGGTCCGGTCTGCGTGGGACGTCTGCATCGGGAGTTGGCCTCAAGTTTCTGACTGGGCCTCGCCGTTTTCTTGATGGCCTCGTCAGGCTTACCGGCTTCCCTCGAACCCGACTCTTACGTCTCCCTGGACAAGCGGCATCAACATGACTTGTCGGATATCCGCGTGAATTTCTTGGGTTGGCGCTGGGCCCCGCGCGCCAGGGAGGGGCGTCCAGCGCCGATCCAAGAACCCTCCCGTGCGGACCATCGAAAAATCATGCCGACGCCGATTTGGATTTCCATAGAGGTGGCGGAGCTACTGGACCAGCTGGCCCCGACGAAGGAGGGCGAGGAGGTGGTGCGGCAGATCTCCGCGACCGTGAGGGCCGCCGTCGCCAGGGTGATCCCCGAGGCAGAGGTCTCTGGCTTCGCGTGCGGCAGCCTCGTGAGCGGGAAGGCGTTCGGGGTGGCGGTGCCGGAGGCTCCGCATCGTTTAGCCTATCTCGGTGGTTCAAAGAGGGGGTCCTAATGATGGGCCTGTTTTCCACCACCACCACCATAAGTTGGAGGGGGAGGGGTCCTCCTCATCCCCCTTCTCCTCCACCTCCTCCTCCTCCTCCTTCTCCTCCTCCTCCTCCTCCTCCTCCTCCTCCTCCTCCTCCTCCCCTCAAACCTATGGTGGTGGTGGTGGTGGAAAACAGGCCCATCACCAGAGGCATGGGGACCTAAGGATAAGAAGGGATCCAGGAGTGGATCTTCGTGGTTTGAGGCACCTCGCCCTCAGGACCCCATCCCTCAGGACCCCATCTTTGAACCACCGGCTGTCCCCATCCCCACCGGGCCGTGGCACCTCAGCCCCACCGTCCCGCCCCCCAGTTGGGGATGGGCCCCTCGAAGCCCGCAGGGACCGGCATGTGTCCCCATGCAGGGGGGCAACTTGGCCAGTGGGGCGTAGGCCACGCCATTGGGGCAGGGATCGGCGATCGGTGAAAACCGGTGCGCAGAGGTGGACATCGTGGTGAACGCCAACCCGCAGGCGCTGCTCGGCCGGCTGCAGGGGCGCTGGTCGGCGGGCCCGCGCTCCGCGAGGCTGGACGCGCGGAAGCTCCAGAAGTCCGCCATCCGCGCGTGCACGGATCAGCTCGTGAGCACGGGCACCTTCAAGTTCCGCCGCTCGGCATTCCGCGGGGACGAGCCGAAGGTTCTCATTTGGCCTCCCAGAGGAGGTCCAAGTAGACAGGGTCGGAGGATCGCGCCGCGTCGCGCCCATGCGGCTTGACGTGGGGCTCGGTGTTCTGCATGCCGACGGCGCCGATGCCTTGCCGATGTCGCCGATACATCGGCGATGTATCGCCGATGCGTCGGCGATGCGGTGCGATCCTCCGACCCCATGCGCTCGGACCCCATAGGAGGCCTCTCAGGTCACCATGATCGCGCCCTCGTCCATGGACGGGTGCGAGCAGGGCATCCCGATCAACCTGTCGGTGAACACCGTGACCCCGGTATACAACGCCGTACTCCTGGCGGAGTGCGGCCACATGGAGCCGCGCGCCAAGGAGCTCGCCTTGCTGGTGAAGCGGTGGGCAAAGGACCGCGGCCTTTGCCACACCGCGAAGGGGCATCTGCCGCCCTACGCGTGGACGCTGCTGACCATCTACTACCTCCAGGTGGCCGCCTTCGAAGACGAGACGCCTCTGCTGCCTGCCCTGGAGGGCACCCGCGCCCTGTCGGCCCAGGCGGTCAAGGACGCCTGGAAGCAGTCGCGCGAGCCGCCGGCGCCGAGCGGGGGCCGGAGCCCGCAGCTGAGCATCGGCGAGCTATCCCGTTGGCCTGCGGCCTCCATCCTCACCACCGCACCCGACGGGGCCACCCATGGGAGCCTCCAGGGAGCCTTCCGAGCTCTCGGGGGCGGGCCTCTTGGGAGGGCCTGCCAGGGGCCTGGTGGGACTCTGCGAGCGCCGCTTCTGGCATCGTGTCGGCGGCGAGCAAGTGAGAAAGAGAAGGCCATCTCAGAAGCTTCGGAAGTCCCCGGGCCTTCCGAGAAGTGTTCTAAGCCTTCCCCGAAGACAACAAAGACATGTCTGAGAAGTCCTGCCGCCTTCTGGGAAGGCCTTCTCCTTCTCCCTTGCCCCCTCGCTCGCCGCCGAACCTTGGTCAGCGCATTGGTCACTTCACGGTGCGGTCCGCTCGGAGTGTGCGGCGCGTGCTCAGGATTGACGTGGCGCCGCCGCTGGGGCCTCTTGGGGTAGCTTTGGGTGGGCCGGCCCCCGGGCACCCAGCGCGGCGTACCCTCTGTGGCTGAAGTTGTTGAGCGCGCCTGTGCTGTTCGATCGGCCGTGGCATCCTGGAGGCCTGCGCGCTGCGCCCTGGGAGCGCCGAAGGACGACGGGAAGCGCGCTCAGACTCGAAGGGTCGCGCGATGGACTTTTTGTTTCGGGCCCAGAGGGGAAATATGTAGCAAGTGGGGTGTCCAGGGGAGGAGTGGTGGCGGGGTCGGGCCTCCATCGAGACCTTGCGGATGACAGGACGCGCGCTCAGACTCGAAGAATCGTGCGATGGACGTTGTTGGCATTGACCCAGGAGGGTAAAGTAAGAGAAGAATCTGTTCAACTAGGGGTGTCCAGGGGGGAAGGGCTCGGGATCGCTCCGTTGTTCCAGGCTTGGCGGATGACGGGCAGCGTCTTCGAAAGGCCCTGGCTCGAGGATTTATGGCAAGTTTCATCGTGTCAGCAAAGTCGCAAGCCCCCACAGCATGCCTCCCAGTCGATGGCAGTGAATGATGTGTCTCGTTTATCTTCTTCTCGCTATCGCTAGCCACTCGATCCACGCTGGAAGGCCGAGCGTTCGGTGACGGCACGATCACCGTGGAGCTCCATGACATCGACTGACGGCGATCCAGTGCACAGCATCAGAGGCTTTCACCGTGCCTGCCGTGCCACTCTCGCCAGTGGGCGAGCATGGTCGTGGTCCGATCTCAAGGTAGGCCAGGACGTTGTGGCAGACCGACGCAATGGGGCTCTGGCTGTTCGATGTTCTCAAAGCGTGAGTCTCTGGCTGCAGGCGTCCTCCAGAACATGATATGTTGCAGTTGCTCGGGGATTTTTCGCTTTCTCCCCAGACAAGGCTTTCGTTGCAGACGTCTTCAAATCATGTAGCATCGGAGGGGGTGTTCCCGACGCCAACTAGGTGCACGAGCGCGGCAACTCACACGATCACGGCAGGCCACGTAGTGGCACGGCAGATCACAGACAAACGCGGCGGACCACAAAGGAGCTTGGCAAAACAAGCATCCGCACGGCAGACCAAACAGGAACACGGCAGAGCACAGAAGCACAGCAGACCGCATGAGCACGGCAGATCACTGGAGCACGGCAGACCACACACGAGCGTGGCAGACCACGCAGGAACACGCAAAACCAGACGGGAGTACGGTAGACCCCACAGGAGCACGGCAGACCACACAGGAGCACGGCAAGCCCCTCAGGAGCACGACGGACCATAGGAGCACGGCAGGCCACAGGAGTACGGCAGACCACGCAAGAGCACGGCATACCAAACAGGAACATGGCAGACCAAACAGGGGCACGGCAGACCGTAAAGAAGCACGGCAGACCACAGGAGCACGGACGACCACACAGGATCACGGCGGAAAACACAGGAACACGGCAAATCCAAGAGGAGCACGGCAGACCACGCGGGAACACGGCAGACCACGCAGGAACATGACCCAATTCCCGACTTCGGCCCCTCGGCCGCACACGCCACCGCTGCCACCGAGAAGCCGTCCAGGAACGAAACGAACACGCCCTCCGAGCTCGAGTGGCCATCCCCCGCGGTGCAGTCGCCGCTGTCTGCGACCAGGGGCGGCTCCACGCCGACGGCGCGCTCGATGGCCGCGCCTCCCACGGGCACCTCCACGACGGCCACGGACGGCGGCCGCGGCGTCTCCTTCGCGCGGTGCTTCGAGCCTCCGTCAAGCGTCGCGACGCCGCTCGGTTTGCACGCCCGAATGAGCAGCTCGAGCTCGAGGGCCCTCCCCACGGACATGCCTGGCGGATGGGCCTGCACCAGCCAGGGCCCTTCGGCGAACCGCACACGCCAGGCGGGTCGCCGACGAGGCCCCACGGAGATGCCGAACCTCTCGCACTCGCAGAGGCCATGCAGAAAGATCCCAGACACACCGAGCGTGCCTCCCAGGGCCCCCACCTCCAAGCCGACGACGCCGGGCCACGGAGCGAAGGATACCCGCTTGCTCCTCTCACACTCCTGCCCCAGCCCGACAGGATCGGCCCCGTTCGGCTCGCTGGCACGCCTGTCGCCGTGCAGCCCGCACGGCACGGGCACCGCGTTGCCCCCCTGGGACTCGTGCAGCTCCTCGGGGCCTTCCTCGGAGCCGTCGGCCGCGAGCGCTAGCGCGCCGTGCCCCTCCTCGGCCTCGCTTCCACCACCGCGCCTGGAGCCCGAGCGCTCCAGCCAGGCCGCGCGCGCCAGCTCGTACTCCGCGGCCAGCTCGCTGCCGCCCGAGAACTCGTCACGCAGGAACTGCCCGTGCTCGGACCCGAGATCCTCGAACTCAGAATCCCCTTCGAACTCCGAGTCCCCCTCTAGGCTGTCCCCGCTCCGCCACGGCCGCCACGCCGAGCAGCGCGCCGCAGCAGCGGGATCCTCCTCGGCCTCGCAGCCGAACTCCGCGATGATCTCCTCCGCCTCGGTGCTCTCGGCGCCGCCCTCGCCGCAGCCCTGCTCGGCCAGCTGCGCCACGCCGAGCTCCGCCAGCAGCGCGGCCCAGCGCGCCCACTCTGGGAGGCACGGCTGGGCGCCAGACCGCAGCGGGGTCCTCGCGGCCGCCGCTCGGGCGCCGGGCAGCCGCGCTGGCGCCGCGGCGACGCAAGCACCCAATGCGCACTCAATCGGCGGCTGCGCCTCGCAGACGCAGGCCTCCACCTCACACGCGATGGCACTCTGCGCCGCACCGCCGCGCCCATCACCAGGGAGGGGCCCTCCTAGGAGGCGCGGCCCGCGTTGAGCCCTGCGCCATTCCTGCGGCGAGGCGTCTGCCGACGGGCAGCGCTCGGCATGCCGCGCGACGTTCCGCCGCTGCCGCTGCGCCCTGGTTTCGCGGCGTCCGCGGACGCGCGCAACCAAGGCGGGCCGCGCGATGGCTTCGCGGCGGAGGGCCTCCGCCTCCGCGGCGTCGCCGCGCGATCCGCACTCCAGCTGCGCCTGGAGGCTGGCGATGACTTCCTTCGCCTCCCGCAGCCCCCTGTCGAGCCGTCTCACCAGGTTGTCTGCCGCCCAGCGGGCCGCCGCGACACCGGCGATCACCTCCCGCACCATTCTGCCCAAGCGCCCGCGCGCGGCGCGCGCCCGAGCACGGCTTGAGCCAAGGCCCGCGCCCTCGGCGTCCGCCTCGGAAGTGCAGGTTGTCCAGATGCCGAGGAGCGTCTGCGGCTCCTCGATGATTATTTGGCCCGCGCGCGTTGCGCGACGCGGCCCAAGAGTGAAGAGCGAGGCGGGCAGTTGCATTATGCATGTAGTTCTGCTCTCGCCTGTGGTGCCGCGCGGTGGTGGCCCAGTGCGGCCCCCGCGGCGAGAGGCGGCCCTAGGCGGCCCCTCTCGGGAGGGCGTGTCTCGGGTGGCGCTTGGTGCCCCTGGAGGCCCCTCGGTCCTTTTCTTTGCCTTTATGGCCCCACAACTACAACTACAACCACGCAGGAACATGGCAGACAACACAAAAGCACGGCAGACCACACATGAGCATAGTAGACCACACAAGAGCATTGCAGATCACAGTCGCATTGCAGGCCACACAGGAGCACGGCAGACTGCAGGAGCACGGCAGACCATAGGACCGCGGCGGAGCACAGGAGCACAGCAGATCCCGCAGGGGCACGTCAGACAACACAGGAGCATGGCAGACCGCAGGAGCACAGCAGACCACACGGGAGCACCGCAGATTACGTGGGCATGGCAGATCGCAGGAGCACGGCAGCCACGCAGGAGCACGGCAGACCGCAGGCGCATGGCAGTTGGCAGGAGCACGGCAGACCACGCAGGCGCACAGCAGACCACGCAGGAGCATGGCCGACCGCACAGGAGCACAGCAACACATTGCATAGGAGCACGGCAGACCACACAAGAGCATGGCAGACAACACAGAAGCACGACATACCACAGGAGCAAGGCAGACCCTACAGAAGCATGGTTGACCCCACGGGCAACGGCATACAGCAGGAGCATATCAGAACACAAACACACACACACACAGGCATGGCAGACCGCAGGGGCATGGCAGACCAGAAGAGCACAGTAGACCACACGGGAGCGCCACAGACCACAGAAGCACGGCAGACCACACAGGAACACGGCAGACCCCACAGGAACGCGGCAAACCACACATGAGCACGGCAAGCTTTTCAGGAGCCCAGCGGAACAGAGGAACACGGCAGGCCACAGGGTTATGGCAGACTATGCAAAAGCACGGCATACCACAGGAACACGGCAGGCGACACGAGCACGGCAGACCACAGGAACATGGCAGATCACACAGGTGCATTGCAGCTTCTGGGGGACATGGCAGATCAGCATTATTGCTATCGCATTATGACGTTGCTTATTCGCGTTCTGGCTCGAGCGTTGCGATGTGCTCTCCGCCAGCGCCGCCCAGCACGCAACCCGCACGCACACCGTACTCCCCCCGCCCGCCCGCCCAGCGTACACCCAGCACGTACACGTAGCAGGCCACGGCAGCACCAGAGACCACCACGGCACACCACGGGAGCACGGCAAACAAGCACGGTAGATTACGGGAGCACGGCAGACCGACATGACAGACCACAGCAGCACGGCAGACCAACGCGGCATACCTCAGCAGCACGGCGGCCCAATACGATAAAACAGCGCGGCTAACCAACACAACGATCCGATAGTATTTGTGTTGGTCGTCTGCGATAAGTTTCTGAGTTCTTATGCCGTTCTCAACCCGACGTTGTCTGGCAAACTTCGTGGGCAGGGCAGCGCTTCCCGTTCTTGGCGTCTCGCCTGAGACATCTTCGCCCACTCGCGATCTTGGAGGTCGTAACGTAAGACGCGTTATGCTAAACATGAGCGTTTCGCCTGGGACATCCTCGGACACTGTGGATGTTAAAGTCACTGTCCTAGCCTTCGGAACTTCAAACATGGCCGTTTCGCCTGAGATGTCCTCGCAGCATTGGGATGCGCAATGAGTTGCTTTGAGGCATCTGTTCGGAGTGCTGTCGGATGACCTCCAAGATGGCCCAGGAAGAGAAATGATTGAAACACAGTTGGGTTTTCAACACTGTTGATAACACTTAAGGTGGCAATACGATGCGCAAAAACTGTTTTGAGACATCTTGTCGGAGCGCTCTCGGATGACCTCCAATATGGCCCAATTATCGAAATTATTGAAACACCCATGGGTTTCAACACAGCTGTTAACATGTAGCGTTTCTCTCGAGACCGAGACCGAGGAGCAGGAGGATCATCAGGAATATGCTTGTGCACGTTCGGGGAGCGCGTGTCCATACGTATCCCCTTTGAGCGTCCGCAGAGCTCGCCTATATCATATTTGATCGCGGTGATGATGAACGCTCTTGCGCAACTCTTCTTGTACACGCGCTTCCCGTTGACGTCAGCGACGGTTCTGGCCAGTCGGGGGTCCGAGCCCTGAGTAAATTTATAATCGCTCTACTTGTCACTACATTCGCCCTGGGACACTCCACTGCGTGCCCATGGCACGCTGGCGGATTCAGGGGTTTCCTCCAGTTCTACACCAAGGAGTACAACTGGCGCGACGAGGCTGTATCCGTGCGTCGCGGAAAACGTGACGCCCCCGACATCAAGGTGCCCATCCACATCATCCTCCACGACGACGGCAAGACCACGGAGGCTGCCAGATGAGAGAGATAAATCAAATACCGATGCCCTCCCGTTATTTTCGCCTCTTTGGGGGCCTCCATGGGAAACCTCGTCGCCACGGCTGGACTCGCCTCGGAGCCTTGCAATCTAACAGGGTGCCCAGGTGAGTCCAGCGTCTCCAGGTTCCGACGGCCAGAAACGCCGCGTAAGGCTGGCCAGCCGCGTTTCCAGGGGGTCCTTGGCGTTCTCATTGCTCCCGCGGGGAGCATTGGCTCCCGAAGGGGCAGCGGTGGTCCTTCGACGCAACAGGACAGGCTCCGACAGGTTCTGCTGCACTGTCCACGTCCGTGCGAAACCTGCTCGGGCCCGCCGCGGTTCTGCGCTTTCGCCGGCCCGCCCGGGCCTCCGCCCGGCCTCGGCCCTCTGGCGGCAGGGCTGGGTTCCGACACGGAGCGATCGTGTTCGCGGCGGGAGGGGGAGGAGGAGGAGGAGGAGGAGGAGGAGGAGGAGGAAGAGGAGGAGGACGAGGAGGAGGACGGGCAGGAGGAGGAGGAAGAGAAGGAGGAGGAAGGAGGAGGAGGAGGAACAATATGAAGACTAGTGCAATCCCAAGACGCATCAACGACGTTTCAGTAAACCCTCTCTCTCCAAGTACCTTCTTCAAAGGTCCCTACAACTACAAGGCTTTACTTTACTCCGGCACGTGCGCCGTTCGAAGACAACCGCCTGAACATCATCAACCGTGCCAATACACCATTCTTGGGACGTCAACGCCGCGAATCAACGTTACTGTTGCGCCGTGGGGATCCTGAATCGTGGCCGACGGCCTCGCGACGCGGTCCAGCGGGGCCTGCCGTGGGGCGCGCCGCGCGGCGCCGCCCAGCGGCGTCGAAGCCGCGGCCCGGCTGCTCCGCGCGGCGCGTGGTTGACCTTCAGCGCCGCGAGCTCGACGAAGGCCAAGGCTTTTCCCTCCGATCTGGGCGCTGCCGTGTTGTCACACCGGGCGTCTTCGCCCAATGTCGTGCCCCGGGGCCCTCACAGATCGGCCCTGCTTCAAAAGCAGCGCAGAATGATGGGGTCTGGAGTTCGGGTCGTGTTTTTGTTGTGCCACGCTGTGATTTTTTCGCGACGACGCGTCTCAGGGTCTGCGACGCGGCCAGCGCGTCGAGCTGCCGCTAGCGCTCCCGGCACAGCGCGGGCGCGGGCGACGGGGGCTCTGCTGCCAGCCCAGCCAGGCGGTCCGCCGCAGCGTTGCCCGCGCGGTCC